TGCATTAGAAGCCAGGGATCCTTGGGTGGCGGTTTAGCGCCGCCTTCAGCCCAGGGCGTGATCCTGGAGACCCGGAATCGAGTCCCACGTTGGGCTCCCTGCATGGAGCCTGCTTCTCCCTCTGCCTGTGTCTCTGCCTCTCTCTCTCTCTCTCTGTGTCCCTCATGAATAAATAAGATAAAAAAATCTTTAAAAAAAAAATGAAGCCAGGGACCCTGGGTAGGACACACTGTAAAGCAGACAGGAGGTGAGGACTTGAATCAGGGGGAGGCTGTCAAAAAAGGAAAGCATAGGCACCCAGGACACAGCATGAACAGAATTTTAGTGAGAGACAAAACAAATGAGTAAACTGATGTAGAATTGTTGGGTTTCAGAGCGGATGGCCAAGAAAGCTTTAGATGTTTTCAGTGCAAAAAGGTGGTTTTATTACAGCACGGGGACAGGATGGCAGAAAGAGTTGCACTGGGGCTGTGAGGGAGTGACGGATTATATACTTTCAAGTTCGGAGGGGGTCAGGGACAGCACAAGGCTCCAAGGTATTTCGGACACAAGGTTTCTGGGAGTCTGAGGGGGCTAGCTATTGTTAGGAAAATGTTATTATTGTTAGTAAAAACTCAGTCATGAGACCCTTCAAGATGTGAATTGGTGGGTCCTACACTTGGAGGATGACTGCCAACATAGATCTTGGGGGGTAGAGATAAAGGATGTTTCCAAAGGAATTTCTGTATGTTAAAGTAGACTCACAGGATCCTGAGGAGTGGGGCTAAGATTGCTCTTTGCCCTTACCAAGTGTCAACATCAAGGCAGCTGAGTTTCCAGGGAAAGGTCACCCTGCCTGTTTCAAAGACTTGTTCATGGGCTGCAAAGTAGGAAGGAAATTTGTTTCTTGTTTCCCACATCATTAATAAAACAGTCAGATATGAAATGCTACAGAGAAGAAATGAAGGTACCAGAGCTGGGGAGTGTGTGGGGATGACACTGCACCAGAGGCTGGAGGTGGTGAGGGCCTGAGTCAGGAGGAGATCTGAGGGAAAGCCCTCCAGACACAGCAAATAGGAAGAACCCCTGTGAGGTGGAAGCAAGTTAGATTTGTCAGACCGACACCAAGGAGGCCCCTGTGGCCAAAGACCAATGAGCCCGGGCTGAGAGGTGGGGGAAGCTGTTGTTTGGAGGTGGTGGGCCCACAGTGCAGGGCCCCTGTAGGCCATCGCAGGCATCCATCACTGCCCAGTGATGGGCTGATGGGAGCTGATGGGAAATGGGGCACAGGTACACAAGGAAGCAAAACAGTTTTCCTGGAGTTCAGAAGTGTCTGAAACAAATTCCTTGAAGAGCAGAACAAGCCTCCCCACCTTCCCTCCACTGGGCCCTTTGTAACCCTCTGTAATGCAAGATGACACCAGGGCCCCTGGAGCCCCTGGGACAGACACTGACTCACAATCCAGTCCAGGTCCCACTTTGAAGGAGTCTTCTCCCTGTTTGGTGACAGACGTGCAGATCCACGCAATCATCAGCTATCCCTAACCACATTCAGGAATGAGAAAATAAGAATGGCTTGAAGACTTCCCTTTTCGCTCCAATCATTTTCAAAGGGTTGAAAAATCTTAACCGTGCCTAGAAAACCATTAGAACTCAAGAATGTCCTGGAGGCTTCAAGGGACTCTTCTCACACAGATAAAATCACTTCACCAACACAGTGGAAGATTTTTCAGAAGCTGGTGCTTTCTTATGTTTTTTTCTCTGGAGTAGGAGCTTTACAGGTAGAGAGGTTAGATTGTGAGGAGGAAGGGGTGCAGGAGAGGGGCAAGGAGACAAGGGATGCTGTTAGCAGAGTGGGTTGGAAGTCCTGACTTGTGTGTTTGGCTCAGGAGGGCCCTCTGGCCAGCTCCACAGACAGGCCTGGTTTTAAAAAGTGCCAGGGAGCCATGGATTTGCATGTTATTTGCGTTCCAGGCTTCAATTCCAGGTATGTGGAATGAAATGAATGAATGAACAGTATTCAGACTCTTGGTTAAGGGGTGGACTCAGGAATCCAGACCACACTGAGGATCCAATCACTGGTCCCATTTGGATCAGGAGACACAGACACAGAGACAGAATAAACAGTCAAAGAGACAGAGAGACAGTCTTAGAGAGACAAACACCACCAGGTCCCTTTTTACCAGGGAGTTTCCAGTCAGCGCAAGAAAGCAAAATCCACAGAATTTATTTTAAATAAATCAACTTTTAGGAATTAGGGAGAGTCACGCACAGGTGGATAAATGCAGTATCATCCCTGACTTCTCCACCTCTGTCCCTCCATCATCCACATCCAGCTTCCGACTGGACCAGGTGCCTCCTATGAGTTGGCCTTCTGGATAAGGTCCGTTGCTTGGTGTCTGCATCACCTCCAAATTAGTTAGACTCTAAGGTCCTTGAGGACAAGTGACTTTTATTTCCTTGGTCAAACCATCTTTTCACTCTACCCTCCAGGGCCCTCAAATCCAGGGCTTAAACACATGCTTATTAGACACCCATTGTAAAGGGTTCGTTCCCCAGAGAATCTGACGAGGCAAATGACCTCCAGGAACTTGGCTCTGGCTAATAAACAAGACACAGGCAGCATGTAAAGTGGTCCCGTTTAAAGCACAAGGCAGAAAGGGACTCACAGTCTCAATCTACAAGGGATGTAAAACAACACTGGAAATAAAAAAGATGGAGAAGACTAGAAATATCTGTGGTTAGAAAAAAAATACTATGATTAGGTCCTTCGGACGGAGACCAAGATCCCGGGAAGGCATGCTAAACTGCCAAGGAAAAGGTGTAAGGGCAGGCTGGGGCATTAGGTTTGGGGCCACAAACCAGGTGCAGTGGCTCACTGCAGGCTGCCATAAGCAGTCCTCCTTCCCCAACCTTCAAAATGCTGTCTTTCTCAATCAATGTTTAATGCAGTCACCCTACACCTCCCTGGTTGGCCTGAGAAGCAGTTTGCACTCCTGGCTTGAAGAAAAAGCGCCAAATCACTAACCTGCCCTCTGGCAACAGCCCTCAGTCCATTCCTGATGTGAAAGACAGATTACAAATAGTATGTGGAGTTATAACATTTTCTGATTCTAAGGGCTACAGCTGTCCAAATAAGAGATTTTAAGATAATATGATCAGGGAAGGCTTCAGGGAGATGGGATTTGGGTGTGTGTGCTCTGTAGGTACTTGTGAAAGGGACACAGGAGTAAACTGAATGAGGAGTGCTCAGCAGACTGAAAACTCGGGGCTCCTTTACATCACTTTCCCATACTTTTTCTTCAGGACACTGAGGTTCTGTGGAATAGAATAATTTCCAGGAGTAAGCAGTTGATGGCTACCTGTCAGCTGAAAATGGAGAATTCAACAGCTATGATCTGTCCCATTAGAGTAAGACTCTGACTGGGCTTTAATTGTAAGACCAAGCCATATTAACATTGGCCTTAAACTTGAACTTCGAATCCCTACCTTGACTGAATTCTATTCCATACAGAACTATAGCCCTCAATATTTCAGAATCTTGGGCTCTGACAAGACCCTAGATCTGGTCCAACCACTCAGAATTATCCCTGCCCTATCCTTGACAGCCCAGAGAGGCAGCCTGCACTAATATTATCTCAAGGTTTACCCTCTGGCTCTGTCTCCTAGTTTCTCTTCTATCTCACAAGGGATTCATGTGTAAGGTCCCCCTTACCTTTATGATAGGTAAGTGACCCCACATACCCTTATTGTCTCTCCTCACCTCCAAAGCCAGGAGTGATAGTCATGGACTCTTAAGAGAGGTCAGGATTCAGCACAGGTGATGTAAGGCTCTGGGATCTAAGGAGAGATGCTGGGCTGAGCCCTACATTTTAGAAAAAATTTGAAGCAATGGGTAGGTCCCCCTGGGCAGGGAAATATGGTAACTTTCCCAGGAGTTCAGCATGTAGCCTGTCTGAGTCATCGACAGGGCTTGAGTATCCATATTCCACCTCACCCTGGCCCATCCAGGTGGAGCAAGGTAGAAGACAAAGTCCAAGGGTCAATCGTCTGTCTCTCTTACTCTGGCAAGATGTATCTGAGAGCTGGAGGGATGGCACAGGACCAGAGGCTGAAACATTAAAAAAACGGGGGCTCTCAAGTGAATCCTCTCCCTCTTAAGCCTTTTATAAGCCATGTAAAACCAGGTGGTGATAGACAGACTATGGGATGGGGTTGCTGGCAGTGCTTTTTCAGAACACCTGTTTCTGCTACAGGACACTAAAACTTGGGGCTAACATTGCAGTGGGAAGTGGGTAGAAAATGCTGGCACAATTATAAGAGCTAAAGAAGAGCTGAAGCCACAGGAAGTATGAAGCACCTCATATATATAGAGAGGAGTCACTTCACACAATGCCTCCATGAGGGAGAGAGGGAGTTGAAAGTACTCTTACATCCAACCCCAAACACCCAGGAGCAACAGTCGGTCCCCAGCAACAAATGGGACAGAACTAACCTCCATGCCTTGAACCATGTATTTTCAAATGTTCTGATTTTCTCTGTACAGGGTCCAGGAGTGATTGGTGGGGCTGTGGTTCCTGTTGAAGGCTCTGTATCTAGATAGAGTTAATCATCCCTCAAGTGTCCCTTTTTAAAGGGAGGTGGGTGATTATGAGCACTGAACACAGGGAAGGAGGAAAGACAGGAGAAAAGGAAAGCAATAGGCTTTAGTTTAAAGCAGTTAAACTAAAATATTCATAGCATGCCCTTGGCACTGGAATGCAGGAACCTCCTTATCCCCTCCCCAGTCATCAAAGCCCACCCTTAAATGAAGGAGAAACTAAGTTTCCAGATGCTAGTCCTGATTTTGTTGGCTAGTCCTCTGGAAAAATGGCCCGCTACAGAAGTCTATATTTGGTTCCCACTGAGCCACCCTGGGCCACAACCTTTGTCTCAGCTTGGTCCACCCATGTAGAGTGGTCTCAGGATCCTAACTTCACCTTGTACAAAAATGCATTGGTCAGAAAGGGGGTCCACGTTCAGACAGGCTCAACAATTCCTTATATATTTTTCAAAGTGCTTTTGTTGCATGTTTCATTTTCTGTTATACATGGCAATAAATATTTGTTGCTTTGGTCTATACAAAAAGTCTGTGAGGAAGGTAAGACAGATGTTGTTATCTAAATGGACAAACAATAAATACAGACAACTATCTTGTTCTGAGTCCCCCAGACAATAGCAAGAGCATCTGAAAAACTCAGGTCTTTTGATTCATAGTCCAAATCTATGCCATACTGCCACCTTTCAAATTGTCACTGAAATACATTAAGTACCAAGAATCCATGTGCAGGAATTCTACAATGAGCCTGCACACTGTAGTTTTCTAAAAGAGAATGTGAAAAGGTCTCAGCAACTCATAAATAGAAAGCTATTTATTTCCTATAGAAAAACACAAGAAAGGAAGGGAGGAGGGGAGGAAGGAAGGGAAGGAAGGGAGGGAGGGAAGGGAGGGAAGGGAGGAACAGAGGAAGGAAGGAAGGAAGGAAGGAAGGAAGGAAGGAAGGAAGGAAGGAAGGAAGGAAGGAAGGAAGGAGGGAGGGAGGGAGGAAGGAAGGAAGGAAGGAAGGAAGGAAGGAAGGAAGGAAGGAAGGAAGGAAATGAACAAACGAATGAAAGAAAGGTGGTCTTCCCCAAAAAAGGCAGGCAGTTATGAAAAAGGTAGGACATCTGGTTGCTGGAGTGGAAACAGTAACATTCAGTTAACAATGGAATATTTAAAAAAAATAGTTTTCTTTTCAAATTGTAACCTGTGGTAAAACATAGAAAAATGTACTAAACAAGCTTGGTATAAAACAGAGTAAAATTTTCAAATAAGCCCAGAGAGAAAGCACAATGTTGGAAAGGATGGGGTACAAGGGAAGAAGAGAAAATATTTCATACAAAACTACCTATTACAATACAGAAAAAAGTATAAAACGTTCCTATTTTGGAACTTAAGTACAAAATGACACTGGCATTGGATCGTTTCACTATCTAGCCTGAGGAGCGCTCAGAGGGTGGGGGAGATGCTAGAAAGAACAAAAGGAATAGCAGTTTTTTAGTCTCAAGTTGATCAGTCCAAATTCCACCCGTTTTCCAGTTGAAAATCTTGCCTCCCTCTGTAACCTCTACCCCTAAGCCAAAGTTCATCCAGGCCTCAAAATATTGTTAGGAAGTCCACAAACACCCTACACATAGGGGCTGGGATCTGTGCGTGCTAGAGCTAAATTTGGAAAATGGATATAAATCTAAGGCTAAAGTGGTAAACACATTCAGCCTTTTAAAAAAACACATATCCCTGTGATTGATATATATATATATATACATATATATACACACATATACATATATGTGTGTGTGTGTGTGTGTGTGTGTATATATATATATATATATATATATATATAAAATTCCCTGTGGTTAGAAACATATTTAAACTAGCCACAGACCAAACTAGACCTGCATTCATCCAAAGCTGGAATTTTATGCTAAAGACTGAGGTCCTTCTTCTTGGTCAGAAGTAGGCGGCAGTAAAAGTGGTGCCTTTGTTGCTCCACTAAACCGCTCCCTGGGTGGGTCTTCTCCATATCATGTGTTGTGAGCACATGCAAACCCCTGCTTTAAGGAAAGGACTGCCTGGGACTTTGGGGTCCACCCAGGGCTCATGTGTTGTGCCTCAGGATAGAGGAAGCTACAAATGATAAAACAGCCTTGTACAGAAGCAGATGGATTTCACAAAGAGGCATATAAATAGGGAAGTCCTAGAGGGACTTATGCATGTGGCCCAAAGTCCAAGTTTACAGTCACTTTCCTGACAACACATCTTGAAAATCCTGCGTGTATGTATGTGTGCGTGTATATGCTGGTGGTTTTCATCCCTACTTTTTTGCCCATGCCCTTTCCTACCTCTTAGTAAGGCCTAACAACAAGAGTTTATATGAAACCAGGAATCTGTCCAAGCTTCTCTCGGCCCCCAAATTAGGGACTGAGCGAGGCTGGAGCCCTTTGAAAACAAGATGGCAGAACTGAAGAAGTGAAAAGCAGTCTTTCTCTTCAGCTTAGGGATGTCCCTCACCCCTTTCACAGCACCAAAGTTTCTTTGCAAAAATAGTATCTGAGATACAAAAGGAAAGGCAGATGTGCTTGTGAATGCATCTCGCCAGGGCCTGGTCCAGGATCAAGGGCTTTACAAGAACAGAGGGGTGGGAGCAGCTGTTTCCAAGGTCTCTGGCTGTAGACAACAAAGAGCTGGTCCCCCACAAGGTCAATGTCGGGTAACTGAGACATCTTCACAAAAGCTTTCGGTGGAGAATCTCCCAGACCATCCGCTTCCGGAAGTATGGCATGTGTTGCTGTAGGGACACAGAGATACCCTTAATTGTTTCATTGCTTTCATCCAGACCCAAAACTCCTTTCCTTTTCAATGTTTTCAATTAAAATAGCTTCAGTTGCATTTCTGGTCTTTCAAATTGCTCAATTCTTGATTACATGTAATTTTTTTCCATCACTATCTACCTCTACTACAGTCTTACAAATTTTACTGGACACCACCAGGAGTCCCCAGGCTATACCCAAATGTCTCCAAGAATTTTGAGAATGGTATCTATCAAGTTCTCTAATGTTGAACTTTTAAGCTATGAGATCTAAGGCCTGAAAATCAAAAGCTTACATTTTAGGGGAAGAGTTATAGGAACTGCAAGAGTTAGCTCCGCCCTAGGGCTATGGTGGAAAAGTTTGGTAAAACTATTAATTTAAAGTGAAGGATATAAGCCATAATCTCTAGTCTCAATCCACTTTGGTCTCTGAAGTACCAGATGGACAGAAATAAACAATCACAAACTAAGAGAAGATTGATCAGCTGCATCAAGCGAGGGGCAGGGGAGGAGGGCAGCATGACCAATTACACTAGGAATTCAAGTGGTGGCCTGTTCTAAAACCTAACATGCTAACCAAATGAAGAGAAAATGAAGAAAACTTGCTCTAGTCCCAGTTCAGTTTCTTACAGGATCTGAGGGAGATGGGGGAGAAAGAGGCAGTTAAAGAAGGCTCTGCTAATGACCAGGATTCCTTGACTACAGCAAGTGATGTAAGGGAACCCAGCATGTGGCCTATCACTACCCGTCTTTTTCTTATAACAGTAACCATCATGTTATGAGCCATAGGCAGAGTTCCCTAGGCAGAGCAGTTGGAGGAAAAAATATCTACCAGGCAGCCTGGAGGCAGGGTGGTCACAGGGCTCCATCCTGAAGGCTCGGCTCACCTGTGTGAAGTTGATCGGTCTGTCTTTGGTAATGCAGTCAGCATATTTGCAAGCAAACATGCCACAGTCACTTCCATTCATCTGCTGTGGAATTTCCTGAAAGATTGAAAACAGCAAAAAGGTGACATCTTTCCAAGCTTCTTTCCTTATTAGGTTATAAATAAGAACCAAAGGATATAAATATTATAGGTTTCCCTGAATTTTGAAGAGGTGACTCAGTCCTTCACCCAGAACAATGGAGGCTCAGAGAAAAAAAAATAAGCATCTCAGTCAGGTCTTCCTATTAATATTAATCTTCACATCAGGTACACGGGAGACTATCTTAGACTTCCATGACACCTACAGATGTAAAGACAAGTCCCTGCCACAAGGGCCAATCAGCAAATATTTCCCACAAAGAGCTTACTCTATCTTCCCCAAGGAACCAAACAACCAAGCCAAAGTCAGGCTAGACACTAAGATAAAAGGTCTCTGGGAATTAAGCAATAAAACCCTTTCCTTTTCAAATACCCTAATATCAAGATTTCTACCTGAAGAGAGGAGATCTACCTGGCTTTTCTTGCTGAAGAGCTGCCAGCCATTGGTGTCAAACTCTTTCCTTTTCTTGTCAATGCTTTCTTGCTTCAGGTATTGCCTAAAGGTATTGGGAGAGAAGCAGATGAGTTATGGAAACACTGATGTCAGTTGCCACTCTAAGAATGGGGTTAACAATCTCTTAGGAAGGGTTTTTGTCTATACTTCTGAGGAAAACAGTACACAATGTTGGACAGAGAGTCTCTGGACTGCTAAGCCACCCCTGAAGCTCCCATAATTCATGCCCACCCTGTCAACCCAAGAGAAACAGGACCTCTGCCTCTGACACCCAGATTCCTTCTACCTACTGTTCCTCCTAAGGAATGAGTTTTGATTCTTTTCCTTGGTTTATATGGTCCTTTAGAACTCAGTCTCATGGAAGAAGGTTTCCCTACCAATATCAAGGCAGTTATTCACTATTTATAGTCTTGACTCTCCTGTGTGAAAATTCAATCCAAATTACAATTTGATGAGTGCATACCTCATACAGAGCACTCTTCTTAAGTGCAAACTGTTCACCATTCTGGAACCTACCTCCTCCTGGCCACCAGAGTGGTACAGTGGTACAGTGAGGAATAGGTATTTTGGAAAGAGAAACAGGTATAAAGAGATTTGCATTCTGGTTTCCAGTTGAGCCACTAACTAGTAGGACCTGAGCATATCAAAGTCACCTCTGTGGGTCTTGGTTTCTTCATCTGAAAAATTAGGAGGTTGGATTAGATAATTTCTAACTAGTTACTATATCTATAGGTATATATTGACTCATTCATTATTTTTAGTGCCCTGGGACAATAGTTGTGCCCATGAGGGTATTTTTTTTTTTGGTATTATTATTAAATTTTACTTACTCATACATAATATATCCATTCTTACTCAATATGAAGATTTCCTTTATTAATCTTAATTATTCCATGGAAGGCATCAAAGAAATGACTTCAACAGCTGGAAAAATACAACATACACCCAACACCAAATTCTTTTGTTCTCAACTCCCTACTTACAGGAGGATCCTGCAGGCTTCATTGTTTATCCCACCCATAGAGTCATAATAGGTAATATTCTTCTTTCGGAAGTCCACAACCTGGAAATAAAAATATCTGTGTATTCATAAAATAAGAAAAATAGTTTCTCAGCTTATGCTTCCCTGGAATTTGAAACTTTCTGCCAGATTTCCTACAGCACCATGACAAGTTTGATTGATACTTTGCACTATACCATGCTTAAACTGCAGAGGAAAGAACAAGGGGGCTATTTACATAGCACTATGTAAATAGTAATGAGTGGCCTCATTAACGGCCCTGAAATCTTTTTTTCTAGTATTTAGGTTCTCCATCTGCCATGTGGACAACAGTGAAGACACACACACTCTTTAGAGACTATAAGATGAATGAGATCATTGCCACAGGGTTTCAGAAAGATGATAAAATATTCAGGGTTTTGCTTCTTTCTGTGGAAGTTTTCTCTTTGGCTTTATGCTTTTCTTTTTTAGGTTTTATTTATTTATTTGAGATAGGGAGGGAGAGAGGAAGGGAGCGGGGAGCATGAGCAGGGGGAGGGGCAAAGGGAACAGCAGACTCCCTGCTCAGCAGGGAGTCGATCAAGGCTTGATCCCAGGACCCTGAGATCATGACCTGAGCCAAAGGCAGATGGATGCTTAACTGACAAGCCACCCAGGCACCCTGGCTTTATGCTTTTCAAATATAATTCAAAATAGGCTGTGAGATAACTTTTATATTTTTATTAAGGTATTAAATGAATGTATGTATGTTCTCAAAGAGTCATAAAAATATTAAATTACCAAGTATGCAAGGCAAATCATAATTAGGCAGAAAATAAGTCACAGAATCTGAGTTGGCAGTATCACTAAGAAGTCACTTTTTCTCCCCATGCCTTTTCTTGAGACTGTTTAGACTTACAACTCCCTTTTAAATATTTCCAGAAAAGGAAATTCCACAACTTTCTTCAAAGTCTAAGTATCTCCCACTCTTGACAGGAAGTTCACTGATCTATCCAATTTTTAGCCAATGTTTTACTATTCTTTCTCACAATCACCCAGTGAAAATGTCGAATTACAAACTCACTCCTCTATATATTCTACTAATTACGTAGATTTCTTTTAAATTTGATTGAAAGTAAGAGAGGTACTCACAGCAAGACACCAGTGCACTCCCAGGTGAATGGGCACCAAAAGAATGTCAACAGAAAATACATCCACTTTCTTTGTCCAACGTTTCACTGCCTGATAACCGGCTGTTTTTAACTTAGTGAAGAAAAAGGTATTAAATGCATGCACACTTGGCAATCCCTTCTCTTTACTTCGCTCCATCAACATATTCATGTAGAAATTGATGATCTGTGGGAAGAAATTAAATGTATTAAAATAGATACTCAGTCCCTAATAAAATAGTTGTGTTGTGTGAAGGAAAAGCAGTTGCTGTGTTGCAGAGCATACGTTATTGTTTCTTAATCAATTGAGACTTCAACACCCCAAAGCCTCATGTCCCTGCATCAAATTCTGGAAGGTTGAGGGGCTTATAAACAGTGAAAACAGAAAAAACTGATATAGAGATGTAGATGTACAGATCTACAGATATCTTATGGGGTTGAGGATCCATATGGGGCATGCTGGTCAGATCTGTAGAAGACTGAGGATTGGATCCAAAAATGAGAAGGAGGAGGAAGGAATGCTAGAAGAAAACACTTAAAAGGAAAGGAAGGAACCAAGCAGTTGATGAGACACATTAGAGGTACTTTAATCTACTGGGAATGGGTGAGCAACTTAAATAAATCCTGAGCTCAGTTTAGTGTAATACAGCAAAGACCAATAGTTCAATCCTTTGTGTGAGTCACCTGGTTTTGCACAGACAGAAAACTGTTCCATGACTAAAGACTGCCTTTTCAGCCTAATAAGTTGGCTTGTAGAGGCGAACGGCTCTGGTTTCAAGTAGAATTGAGTGACAGGATAAACCATCAACTATACTGAAAAAAACACCTCTCAACTGACAGTAGCTCAACATTGTCATCTTTACAGAGGCAGACATGGATGTTGTATAAAAACCTACATTACATGAGACATGAAAATCCAGTCACAAACATGAAGAGTCAAGTTTTCCTCCAGAATCTATATGGTTGCTTCCTCATTTTTGTTGACTCCATATATGTCACCAATATCAAGTATGACTGAAAGAGATTTGAATGCTTGATATGGAAGATACAAGATTCTTTCTATTAACAAAACAATATATTCTCTAATAGTGACTATGTCGACTATGGCCCCTGTAGGTCCAGGACTCCCTGGTACTAAAGTCTGAAAGTTACTGTGCCGGAAGTTACTGCATACCTACTTTATGTGGCCAGCTGAGGCCAGGCCAGTGTCTGTCAACTGCAAGGAATGAATGGGCTAACTGATCCACAGCTTGGAAATATGACTAAGAAAACAGGCACATTTTTCAGAATGCTTTTTGGGGAATGGGAAAACGCCCCTGTCCTTTGACAAATATTTACACACTAGGATGCCAGAGCAGTGAACTACTGCCCAACAGTAGGCAACTACATACTGGGTAGGCAGCAGGGAACACTGCCAGGAACACACCGAAACACGGTCTAGACTAGAGAAAGGGCCTATAGATGAAGATGCCGAGGCAGTCGCAGGGAAACCACACTGCCATGAAGCAGAGCTCTGAGGGTGGGGGGGAGGAGGGGAAGACTAGGACTGAAGAAAGACACTGTTCTGCCTTCATCTCTGAAGACTGAGCAACAGGCCCAACCCTCTGGACTTGGGTCATGGCTGATCCTCTGCCTAGTGTGATGCCCAACAGATACCTGGAGCTCAGTTATTTTAAATAATGATCATGAATCAAAACCTAATTAGGATCACAGATTTCTCAAACTGAGGTTTACAATCTAATTCTGTCCCCAAGGATAATGGTGCCAAAAGACAATTCTAGGCTTGTGATAGGCAGCCAGGAATGTAGAAGACCTGCCCAACAAAGCAGAGATTTCTAGGCTATAAAACTACATTCTCTAGTGAGGGAAAACCAGCAAGAAGGAATTGATTCCTCTGGTATTCTACTCATCCCACAATATTAGTCATGTTATGAGGCTAATAAGCCCTTCAATCCAAGGGCGAGGTGAAGAGGTAGATGACCCATCAGTCACTGTAAGCCAAACCTTCCATGGGGCAAACAAGTCATATACTGTAAAAAGCAATATGGACTCAAGCAGAATGTGCAAAGAATCAGGCAAAAAGATAAGGACAATCTAACACATGAAAGCCATGGAAATGTATCTCCTTTAGGTGCCCATCAGAAGGGTATCACCTTTGGGATCATTAACCTGAAGTAAAAAAGAATGACATAAATGAGTATCATGCTATCCATAATTTTCCTTTTTTTTTTTTTTTTTTTTTTTAGGAGGAAAGAGTTCCAGAAGCCAACGAAGTTAAATTTACACAGCCAGGTTGTTTGGCTTCTTATTCTTACATTTTTATTTTGAGAGCATGGATTATAAAGCTAAAGACCAAACCAGCTTAAGTAGTAAGAGACCTAATGATTAGGATATACATTGTCTATTTTCTTTGAGAAATCCCTCTTCCATGGCTTTAGTTCTACCTCCAACCAAGGTTTCTCCACTGCAAGGGAAATGGCCACCTCCAAAGTCAGCTTGTTAGTCAGCTTTAAGGAGTGATCTGGGCTCTTTTTCATTTCCCTTGTATCCCAGTAGGAGAGAGCTTGGTGGCCTCAATGTTCTCCTCATCAGCTGATGTATAATCTGACATCTGAGGCAGAACTGAGATCCCAGTTTCCTCCGTTTTGCAGCTATTATTCTGTCCAAATGAGGAAAATTGCCATAGTTTGGCCAAGACACAGTTCTACCAAAAAAACAAGCTAGTAGTTAGAGAACAAAAAGAATCCTACATGTCAACTCACAGAGGAGGGTTGAAGATGAAGGAAAAAGAAATGAGAGAAGGGATCACAGTGCGTAAGATCAAAGAGAAGCAGTGATAGAGCATTTGCTTATATTTTGTGAAGACAAGGGTCCCTCTCCCCACCACGGGGAGAGCCTTTCTGCATGTAAGACTCTCTTAGTTCCCAAGAGATCTCAAATTCCCCTTCAAATAGGGTGCTAAGGGCAGCCTTGGTGACTCAGCAGTTTGGTGCTGCCTTCGGCACAGGGTGTGATCCTGGAGACCCGGGATCGAGTCCCACGTTGGGCTCCCTGCATGGAACCTCCTTCTCCCTCTGCCTGTGTCTCTGCCTCTCTTTCTCTCTGTGTGCCTCTCATGAATAAATAAAAAAATAAAATCTTTAAAAAAATAAACAAACAAACAAAACAAATAGGGGGCTAAAAGTGGTCAATCAGCCCTGTGCTGTTTGTCTTGCCAATATACCAGCATCTGGGGACAACTGCCAGTGTTGGTCTACCTGTCCCTCTTTTGGGGACCCATACTTGTCTGTTTGCTTGCTGTAGCTCCAGTGCCTCAGGATCTGCCCTTCCTGCTGCCTTCACAGCCTTGGTCATGAGCGCCTGCTTGTCTATGCAGTGCTTTTTGGGGGGTAGGACTGTTGTTTATAGTGTCTTGTTCCTTTGTGATTTTATTTGAAGAGCTGCCAGGCTGAAGTTGGAAAAGCTTCTCTTTAAAAGAAAAGCCTACAATGTTTTTAAACTAAAGACTCAATCCTTTTCCTGTATGTTACCACAATGACATAAATGACCATTGCTATTTGTATCTTCCTTCTCACCCAGTAGACCTGCCAAACTATTGTTTTCTCACCCATTTAGAAGGAAAACATCTCACTAACAGTAAAATCTTAACTTTTAACCCTTTCCAACTTTACACTCTGAACCTTTTTTTTTTTTTTTAAGGTTTATTTTATATGAGAGAGAGTGTGTGCACAAGTCCCACTTGGGGGAAGCTCAGAGGGAAAGAATCTTCCACAGACTCCCTGCTGAGCATAGAACCTGACACCATTGGAACTCAGGACCCTGAGATCTGGACCTGAGCCAAAACCAAGAATCAGACACTTAACTGACTGAGCCACTCAGGTCCCACTGAACCTTTCTAATTGGCTCAGGAAAAATTTAAAAAAAATTAAAAAAAAAAAAAACATTCTGAAAGTTTTGGGTGTTAACACTGGTCCTAAGTAGAGACTAAGACAAGTTTTAAGGGGAAAAAAAGCTTTTTCCTGTTTTACTTCTCTACATTTTCACCTTGACCTCCCTGTTTGGTTGTTTAAATTAAATCTAGCCTTGTCGACCACAATGCCCAAAAGACCAGCCATGCAGTAACACTTAAATACTATGAGTCAGACGATCATTCACTCCTAAGATCTAACCTAATTAATATACAAAGTAGACTTTAGGTAAGCTCTGTGCATTGCATCCCTCACTGTGAACATATACCCAGGATTTTTCTCATATGCAAATCCAAGTAACAAATGATTAGAACCAATGCTAAAGTTTTAGACAAAGACAGGCAGGCAACACCTATTTTTATGGAGTTGTGACAACCGTAATGACTCTTCTCTCTGTGACCTTGCATAAATCCCTGGTTTATCAAAAGGACTCGTTCTATTAAGAAACACTTTGACTATAATGATGTGGAATCTATCAGTGTTGAAACACTAAAATTTGTTGAAACACTAAAATTTCCATTCTGATCATTTTATTCTACACGTTAAGAGTGCACTGCATATGGCAGACACATCATATTCACTTAACTAATTTATCTCATTTTCTCTAGTTTTTCCCCTCCTTATTTCCTAAGGAAAACCTATTCCTTGTGTTAGGCTTGTCTAGTTGGGCTTAATGTTCTACAAGCCATTTTCTCTCTTTATTGAGCATTACTTAAATTTAAATTAAATTTAAGGGCTCCTTGGAAACAACCAGAAAGCTCTGATCACCACCAATTAATTCCCCATTTCCACTTTTGTTATGAAAGAATGCTAGACAAAGAGTTACATGCTCTAATTTCAGATGCTGATTCCACAATAAAAATCAGATGACCTTGGTATATCCCTTATTAAGTCTTACTTATTTCTTTTTTTTTTTTTTTTTAAGATTTTTATTTATTTATTCATGAGAGACACAGAGAGAGAGAAGCAGAGACAACAGGCAGAGGGAGAAGCAGGCTCCATGCAGGGAGCCCGATGTGGGACTTGATTCTGGGACCCCAGGATCACGCCCTGGGCCCAAGGCAGGCTGAGCCACCCACCCGTCCTTTTAAGTCTTACTTCCTAAGTCCCCTCTATCAATCAAGTAAGAATACATCCTTTATACACAAGGCTATTGTGATGCAGAACAGCTGAAAGACACCTCTTTCCTTTCAGAGACTTAAAAATAGGTAACTGGTTG